CGGTTTTATTTATTTATTTATTTTTTGCTCTCCGGTCAAGAATCACGGCACTGGCGAAGAGAGAAGGACGGTTGAATTCTCAATATCAAATCCGATAATTCACTCCCGGATCCGGGTCTGGATCCGGCACTTTGGTCGACCGATGATAAAAAAGATTGGTCTAATCACTGTGGAGTGTGACACGGGAGAGGCATGACCATCAGTCTGGATTTGGACCTTAAGGCGCACGCGCAGCATTTGAGCATAGATCAGGATGTCTTGTCTCCAGTGCTGCCACATCCCTTCCAGCCTCCGAAGCTCATGGACCCATGATTGAACGAGCCGGGGAAGCCCAGTCCAGCTGTTGGGAGCCTCATTTTGTCACCAAATCTGACAAAATGTCATCTCTTTCCATCCCCGACCAGCACAAATTTCATTTCTCCTTGCAATTGGCAAACATTGAGAACGACGCCCATGAAAGCATGGAAGGACGGAGGCCTGCGCGTGCATGGTTCCACCCGCTACGAAGGCTCGTAGAGAACTGATAGCTCTGCTGGCTGACGCAGCATTGCGATGAAGGGCTTGGTCGTAGGCGCATGCGCATTGTGGTCCACATCCTTTAAGGCAGGGATGCACAACCCGCGGCCCGCGGATGAATCCGGTCTCTTAAGATCCATATTTAAATGCGGCCTATTTCGGCTCATGTTCGAGGGCCTCCGACCCTCGAACCCTTCAAACAGGAGCCAACCTCTATTTGGCCCTCTATGAGGAAAGGTTGTGGACTTCAAGGGCTCACGGGTGCTCCTGCCTTCCCCGCCGTGACTGAATTTCAAATTCAAAATTCGCCACAAAATTAACTCAACCTGTATCGTGTCCATATCTACATGCCAGTCAATTTTCGCAGTGATCAGGAGTATATTTTCTTAGTTATTGTGGGACAACCAGAGTGTGAACAGACTGACAGACAGACGGGCAGGACGGGATCATGCGTGATATCTTTACTTTCTGGAAAGGAGGCTCACCAAATACGGAGAGAATGGCTGCATAGACATAAAGTTCTTTCTGAATTCTTGTAAAATGATGCTTGGTAGTGCCGCCCCCTCGATCCCCCAACACGCAATGCCCGATCCTCCTTTTCCGGACAGTCATTGAAAGGATGGCCCACTGATGGCTCACCATGCCAGGAGCAGGAAAACGGTTTCATTGAAAGCATCTTGATGGAATGTGTACGCCCGTGGATGCGGTGCGAACGTGCATCACTGAGCGAACCGATCGCGTGAGAATCACTTCGCTGGTTAACGTAACTCCTTTCGTTCCGTGATGGATCTCAATGTGGTGATGTCAAGAGAACATGGAGAGAACGGTCTCTGACGGCTCCGCATCGAATGGGAGTCTTTGACGGCCTTCTGAAGATGGCGACACGATCGGCAAAGCCAGCTTCCCCCCCCCATCCAGTGGCGTAGCGAAGGGGAAGGGGCAGGAGGGGGGCTACAGCCCCCCAAATTTAATTCAAGCCTCCCCAACTCTGATCAAATGCATCCGCCACCCCCCCCCCCACCCGCGAAAGTGACAGAAATTCTAGCCCCCAATGCCTAGCCAATGACGAAATTTTGGCTACGCCACTGCCTCCATCCCACTTTTACTGAAATGCAGCCCCGCCTCATCCTGTCCGGAACCGCCATTCGTGCGGCCCATTTCTTGGCGCCCCTCCTTAGTGTCAACACGCCCGTTATTGTCTGACGGAGGAGGAAGGAGGGAGGAGAGAGGAACGCTCTGAGGGCTATTCAGCATCCGCCATCATGCGAATGTGAAACTTGGTTGCACTTCGTCACGAGAAAGGGTGCCACCTCATAAAAAAAATAATAATCTTCATTAAAACTCGTGCAAGCCCGATGTCTTTCCGCTCAACTTTCAAAAGTGCTCTCAGTGTGCTGCAAAAAAAGGAGACAGATATTGCTTTCCGTTTCAGTTTTAGAGAGGTTTTATTAAACCTCGAGCAGCGCACTTTTTTTTTTACTGTCACATTCTGTTTTCGTCTGCGCTGCTGCTTTTCGCTGCATTTAAATTATCGGAACGAATCGCTCGTCATCGAGCGACACGTTCCAACGATTTTCCACCCGCCTTCCTCCTTCCCTCGTTCATTAGCATATCGAATGACGAAAAGAAGCAGAAACAGAAGCAACCTGGGCACATGGGAAAGGCGACACCTGCCATTCAATAAATCTCGGAACGAGTGCCTCTCATGCATCATGCATGCCTTTTTCCCGCTTCATCGTCTCCGCGCATTCTTTGCGCGAATGAGACAAAGTTCCTTTCACGCCAACCGCAGTAACGCCTTAATGGAAGTCATCATGCGGGTTTGCGGAAAGTCGCGCGGTATTGACGTTGACGTGCGACTGGAAGGCGTGCAACGCGTGGGCCGACGTCGACTCTGCCGCAGACCGACGGTTTTGCTTTCCCTTTCCCAAATGCTCGCTCTTTCCGGTCGTTTTCTCTCATCTGCAAGGCCGGAAATGTCTGCATCTCCACGTGATGCGCTCAAAAGGAATTCAAAGAAATAAACGACTAGATGATACATCAGGAAACTATCAATTGATGTAACTACACATTTCTACAAGCTGTCGTCGGCAGTGAAAACGACACTGATTCGTCGAGCGATAATTTGTGACGTCACCAGGAAGAGCCCTGCGGCTTTTTTAAGCTCGACTGAACTAAAATATTCGCCTTCCAGCTCGTTTCGACCGGAAATCACTTGAACATGAAGAAAAGTATGACGAGAACATCTCATATGCTACAGTGGTCACCTGTAGGAAGCCACATCGTCCGGGATATTTTTCTTCCTTTGCATTCTCCGTTTCCTCATCTCCGGTTTTTAGTGGATCCCCTTTTACTATCTTACGGCTGCGAGACGCTCGGCGCCTAGCAGGCGCTCGACGGTGCTTCAGGCGATCGAGGCACGACTGGGAAGGATTCCGCCAGCGCGAGTCCACGGGGCCTGGCTTCGCGGCGACACGCGACGCCATTGCCTCGTACATCCCTTTAAACTCTTCCATGTAGAAGAGGAATGAATGAGAAGGGCGGCTGAGGAGGCAGGGTGGGGTCGTCCCTGCGGTTCGCTGGTTCGCACGGCCTGCGGTGCCATTGCGACGTACGAACGCGCTTTCGACGTCTCCCAGGTGCGCTCTCGCGTTTCGAATGAGTCCGTTTCTCGGGATCGTCGTGAAGACGGTCGTGATATCACGGGTCAAGGGTTGTTGTCCTTGTATCATCTGTCCCGTTACGAGGGCTATGCGGTCTGCCTTGAGCCAATAATTAAGGGGATGATCCCCTCCTGTAAACTGGAATTTGAGTTCATTTCACTCGGGATGCTTATGAATTTTCCACAAGTCCAATTCATCCTATTTCCCTGGTCAAATGAATCAGAGGGATTAATGAATGCAAATATGGAATTCTTTGATATTTCTTTCTCGAGTGAGTCATGTTCTGGAAATAGCGCCATTTCGGGAATGTCTCTCATAAATTCCTGAATATCTTCTCCATCGATACTCTTCTCACTGTGCCTCACACGGCATATTCCTCGTAAGAACCTGAAGAGACTTCCCTGTACTCACACTGTTAAGAGAGCCAATGCGGTAAGTGAGGCGGTGATCGATGAGGAGCATTGTGTTCAGTGCGATCAAGCCATCGTTGCTTTGATTTCATCAGCGAGCGAGAGAGCAGTAGGCATGGGAGAGAGAGAGCATTCCATCGCACGACCCAGAGGAACGAGAACCACCCTGTAACCCGGACGTCATACCGCAGCAGCGGTAGTTTCGAGGACATCAAAGGTAAGCTCGAATTACTTCGGTCTGTAGACCTTGATCTCACCCATATAGGAGACGTACTTAAGAAAGATGGTACTCCTTTTGTAGCACGGCTCGAAGAGACCACAATCTTGGACGATGAACGGAAAGAGAGGAATGTTCATGCTGATGCTCCTGTCGGTGTCGATGGAAGGAGGGAAATCCGTGAGGCAATTGAAATTCACGAAGGTGGATAACGGAGGGTTGGTCTTCGCCACTCCGAACCTCATCCGAACAACGGCAAGAACCAAGAAAGAGTGTGCCTTGAAATGCATCAGCAAGAGCAACTGCGTCGCTTTTCATTGGCTTACTTCAGGTCAAACATTTGTCTTGCGATAGGTTATGTCTCCGTCGACCTTCCATCTTTGGAAATACATCCCGCGTATATTTCCAATTCCAGAATTTAATGCAATCGTGGTTCATTCCTGTCCATATGTGTCCATATTTATCCAGCGAACCTGTTTAATGCGGCCTGAATGGGAACTTTCTACGTTTAACCGTATGGACAGGTGGCAGTCACAAAGAGGGGGGCTTTCATTCCCGATGTACAGGGTGTTCCAGAAGTCGCGCACCATTTGTAATTTTTTATTTAACCATATGGAATATACTTTTTCTTTTGTTGCAGATTGATTAATTATGGCATTAACGGAAGACGAGTGGGTGAAGATTATTCTGTTGTGTGGGAGTGCAAGTAATCGACAGGTAGCAAGACGGACAACATATGGAACCTATACTGCGATTAAATGTGATTAAACATTAGCTAAAACTATTTTATGTCAAATAGCCTATGGTGCGCGACTTCTGGAACACCCTGAAGATTGGTATTGAAAGCAGCAGGTCATTAAGGAGAAGTCTCCGCGTTCAATCGAATTGCATTAGAGTGGTTCCATTTCAAATCAGGCCGGATTATTATTTTCAGAAACCTATTTACATTTGTTCAGGAGATACAGCAAATTGAAAGTGGGGAAAAATAACAATTTGGCTTGTCGCCTTTTTTTAGAGCCCTCCTCCGATCTTCTTTTTTTTTCCTCCGACGCTATTTTAGATATAGACGTAAATAAGCTACCATATTTCACTTGGATGGGAGGAACGCATAGATTTTCTTTAAAAAAATGGAAGACTTTGACTCGACAGACCCTGCCTGATTTGGAATGGAACCACCCGTACCTCTTTGTCTTTAACGCCCCTGGAGTTCGCAAATCCTTGGCACTGCTTACGTTAGACATAAAATCCCCTTTAAAAAAAAATACATGTTAAAGGAAATGTTTTGTGCATGGCAGGAGGGACGTGCCAGCTGGTGCCAGGCGACACCACGCTCATGGACGTCCAAGCCGGAGGGGGATTGGAGCTCTACCAACCAGAATCCATAGCTAATGGTGAGACGCGCGAGCCGACGTTCTGCTAGCGACTCGGTAATGAACATCATTTTACCCTCCTCTTGTGCCGTGTGTGCAGGTGCAGCCAACACGTGCATTGGGCTGAGGAACGGGAAGGCGTGCGTCTTCCCCATCACGTACCTGGGGCAGACCTTCAACGGGTGCACTTTATTCGACGACGTCAATTTCTGGTGCTCTCCGGTAGCCGACTACATTGCAGGGACATTCATGTACGAGCATTGTCCCTTCTCCTGTCCCATCAACAACCCCTGCTGCTAACCGACATCTATGTGCTTTGCCTCTTCTCCTGTCCAATGAACAATGGCTGCTGCTACCTTTTCTCTCTCGTGCACTCTTGATCCTCAATATCTGCAATTTTTGCCTCTCCCACATGATGCAGGCACTTGAAGTTTCAGAAAATAAAACCTCGTTTCACCTTCTCGAATACGGCATGTACGTGTTTCGACTCGATGCCATCTCCTTTTCACTTTCAGAGAAAGTATCGATAATTGATCTAAGGACTCAAATAGCTCCAAGTTAGTATAAACGGTCGATTGCAGTAAAAACGACACATTGAATCGTCCGGAAAAGGGAGTTTCGCTTTCAGGCTCCTATTCAGTACAAACCCTGCGAATTCTCAGTCTTTTCCCCAAGAAGCTCGAAATTGAGACAGCTGGATATGATCTTTACTTCCATGAATAGGACGTTCATAGAACCCCTTCACTCCTTTCTATAAGAGAAGCGAGGTAAGGACCTACCAACCCTTCCAGCATGAAGTATGGATTAGCTAGACACACTGTGACAAATGTAGCAAGAAACCGGAATAGTTACAAGTTTCGTTAATTCCTCGAAGTTCAGAAGGCAGTTCTCTTTGGGCTCGTGTAATGGCCTTCAGATAATAGGGACAATCTGCCCCCCCCCCCTCCCCTCCCACTTAGAAACGGCTCAAACTGAAAAGCCCGTCGAGAGTGGCCACCCTAAGGTATGATAGCCCACGGGCATCCGTTCGTAACTGAACCTTCGCGGTGGAGTCTCGAATAAGAGGAAAGTACTCCCAAGGCCCAACAGAGCAAGGGTTCTTAACCTGGGGTCCATGGGGTAGGTCCAGGGGGTCTATGGAGGGTCCTTGGAAAATTAAAAATATAATTTGAGGTAACTCCCCAGAAGCATCTTTTATAATCACGAATCCAGGTGTTCCAAAGTTTCTGATACCTTCCTAAACCAGGAAGTCATGAAATCCGTTCGGGAAGTTTTTCAATCGACCTTACATTCGAGATTTGCGTTTTGAGGTGCATCTGCACGACTCATTCAAGGGCGAATTCTCGAACCCTCGAGAAACGTTTCACGAATCAATGATTTTCTTTAAACACCATCTCCTGATAACGTAAGGGCGATAACAGCTTTCTAAAACTGCATTATCACTACGAAATATTTCAGCCTGATGAGCCACTGGATGCTCTCACCAGGGATTCACCAGTGACTTACATTTTTCGACTCGTGTTTCCTCTGAAGCCCAATATTGTTCTCATGCAGCACCATGATCGGCGATATAATATTCAGCAAGAGAATAGCCTGGGAAAGTTCCTCACCGAAGTAATATCGTGGAGAAAATGTATGAAAAAGAATATCCATCCCACCCGCTAAGGAAATCCACCCCACCCGTGGAGGAAATTCACCCCCCGTGGAGGAAATTCATTCTACGCGCGGAGGAAATTAACCCAATCGCGTAGGATATCCACCACACAAGTGGAGGAAATATTACCCCCCCACCCCAATCATTCACTGTGTAATGACGCATCCTGAGTGAATCGCAATGCGCTTCTGATTCTATCGTTTGGTTTTTCACACATTGTTCTTTTCATCCGCATCAAAATAAAAGAAGAATACATTTTTATATGTCGTTCCTTGGGACTCTGGGAAAATGGCAGATATAGCGATCGGACTATTACTTTGTTTCATACCTTCAGTCCGCACCATCCATTGAAACAAAAAAACGACGCACGGCGCATGCGCAGCATTCCGTCCGGGTTGGGGCAAAGACCTCATACTGAGAAGACTGGCCGCTCTGCGGCGATGCCTTTGATGTCGGGAAAATCTTCTGCCCCGGTGGTTGGCCCTAGAACTAACCAGGATGGACCAATGGGATCATTGGATTGGAATGACACGTCACGGGAAGATTCGCCTTCAAGCTTCTTTCGGGCGGAAATCCCTTGAATATGATGAGAACACCTCAACTGCTATAGTGGTCCTTACTCGTGGTTAATTGTAGAAAGGAATCGTCCGGAGGGTGATCTGAGGAAGAGTCATTGTAATGGTGCTTCGGATTCTTGGTTGCCTCATTTCTATTTCGCAGCAAATCGCCTTTTATGATCGGGACAAACTGCGAGGCTTCTGCCTTCGTCGCGGCGACACGCGAGGCCATTGCTTCCTTCATCCCTTTAAACTCTTCCATCTAGAAGAGGAATGAATGAGAAGGGCGGCTTAGGAAGCAGGGTGTCGTCGTCCCTGCGCTTCGCCCTTGCACGCCGTGCGATGTATCATCTGGCTCGTTACGAGGGCGATGCCGTCGGCCTGGAGCTAGTCATCCAGGAGATGATCGGTTACTCCCGTAACCTGGAATTTCTGTCCATTCCACTCAGGAAGCCTTTGAATTTCCCACAATGTGTCTATTTCACCCTATTTCCCTATCCTGATGAAGCAGAGGGATTGATAGGAGTGACGATGGTATTCTTTGATATTTATTTTTCAAGTGATCTCAGTCACGTTCTGGAAACGGCGTTTTTTTTTCGGAGTATCTGTAATCCGTTCCTGAACGCTTCCTTCCCGTCTCATTGCGCCTGTTACGGCACATTCCTCGTAAAAACCTGAATAAAGCTTCCTGCACATCAACCGCATGAACGCCACACACATACCTTCGCTAGGAGGGTCAATGCTAAAAGTCAGGCGGCGATCGATGTGGAACATAGGGTTAATAGCGATCAATCAACCGCTCCTTTATTCCATTAGAACGCGAGTAGGCAGTAGGCGTGATAGAGGGCGAGAGAGAGCATTCCATCGCACGACCCAGAGGAACGAGGACCACCCTGTACCCTTGACGTCTTACCACAGCAGCGGGAGTTTCGAAGACATCAAGGTTAAGCTCGAATTCATTCGGTCTGTAGACCTTGATCACACTCATATAGGAGACGAATCGAAGCACGAAGTTGGTACTCCTTTTATAGTACGGCTCGGAGAGACCACAATCTTGGACAATGAACGGGAGGCGAGGAATGATTATGCTGATGCTCCTGGCGGTGTCGATGGAGAGAGGGAAATCGTTGAGACAATTGAAATTCACGAAGGTGGATAACGGAGGGTTGGTCTTCGCCACTCCGAACCTCATCAAAACCACGGCCGCTACCAGGAGGGCGTGTGCCTTCAAGTGTCTGGCCGAGAGCAACTGCGTCGCCTTTCATTGGTCTCCCTCAGGTCAAATTTCCGCCTTGTGGTAGATTAAATCTCGGTCGAGCTTCGGATCGGGGAAATTTTTATTGAATATTTCCAACTCGAATATTCCACGTTATTTTTTTGTGAACTTCCAGAAACCATTATGAAGCAACTATTCCACACTAAAAATGAGCGTCATAGGTCAAGTCCTTATTGAAGCACTGGGATTTGAATATTGCTAAAACAGTGCCGATTGATACATGACTCTGTTGAATTCACACAAATTACTTTTTTTCCACTGGAAAGCCACATCTTTCTGTTGCGGCAATCTTCCCCCCCCCCCCCCCCCCGCCCCCCTCCACTGTCATCCCAGTTTCTTTTCTTTTTCTTAGGCTTGGCCAATATTACCCGAGTCACTACACATCTTCATATCAAATGAGTACTTTTAAGCGGATTTACCTCAGAGTTTGAGGAAACGTTGGCTAATATTTTCTTCAAAAGCCGATAAAATGCCGTGTACTAGCCATCCTTGAGTTATGGCAGATATGGTCAAATTGGCGAAGATTCCGAGCGAACAGGCATGCGAATTCCCAAGTGAGGCGCGAATCCACATTTGCATGGGAATTCTTTGTATTCATGGATTACATTTTCAGAAATTGAAACACATTCTTATTCTTAACATTTTTAAGTTTTCGAAATGATTCCTTGAAAGTATCAAATTTTCCAGCCTAATATCAAATGTGGATTCGTGCCTCGCTAAGGTGTTGGGATGTCTCTTCGCCAGCAGCTTTTATCGCTTCGACAAAATTAAATCCGTTCGAATATAAGGATTTCATCGCAAAATTTCGAGTGGCTCACTGTTTCTCGGCCAACCCTGTAGAACAACATCGAGTTTCTAAGATCTAATTGCAAAGACGAAAAGGGATTAAAGAATAACAAATATGTAAGGCCATGCGAGATATTAAATATTCCTACCTAAAACGTTCACGAAAATTTGCGTTTTGCATGTTCCCACATGACCACAAAAATCGTGCGATGCAAATCTGCGAATATTCGTGGCCCTCTTCCCCGAGGAAATAACGTGTAACATGCATCTTGTGAGACCCAAAAGTCGGGGGAGGGTGCGAAGAATTGCTTGGTGCATGACAGGAGGGGCGTGCGAGCTGGTGCCAGGCGACAACACGGTCATGGACATCCGAAACGGAGAAGGGCTGGAGCTCTACCAGCCAGAGCCTATCGCCAAGGGTAAGTTGCGCGAAGCCACGCTCTGTCTTCTGACTCTCTCCGAGAAACCTTTCTTTTATCCTCCTCGTGACGGACGTGCTTGCAGGTGAAAACAACACGTGCGTCGGACTGAGGAACGGGGCGACGTGTGTATTCCCCTTCACATATAACGGGAATACGTATAACGGGTGCACCGATGTCGGCGCCTTCGACTTCTGGTGCTCTCCCGTAACCGACTACAATTCCTTCAGCAACGTCTATGAGTATTGCTCCTTCTCCTGTCCCATCAACAATCCTTGCTGCTAACCCACGTCTACGCGGTTTCCCTTTTCTCCCGTCCAATGAGCAATGACCGATGCTAACTTTCCCTTCTCGTGCGCTCTTGATTCATTCGGTTTGAAGTGCCTGCGTTTCATTAATTATGCGCACAGTTGATTTCAAGAAATAAAGTCTTGTCTCACAATCTCCAAAGCCGCAAGTAGGAGTCCTGTATCAATCGATGAGCGAAGTCTGAATCACCCTCAAATCAGTGTCAGCAATTTCCCACAGTAAAAACGACGCATCGTATCGTCGAATGATCGCTATGAACCTCGCAAGAATCCTTCAGGATTCGACGCAAAATCTTTCGA